CAAGCAGTGGCGCGTCCTCTTTATGTACATATATTGTCAGCCATAAACTTTTATTACGCCTTAAGGTGAATGATTTTGTTTATTTTTTAGGCCTGTTGCCGGCGTGGAATAACAACAAGGACGCCCACGGCCCTTGGTCCTTGGTCCTTGGTCCTTGTGCTGGTCAGCAGCAAACGCATAATTTTGCGTTACTTTTGTCGCCACGCGCTGCGCCCCACGGCGTTTGGCAGCCCTTTGGGATTTGGATGCGGGCGTTGGGCCAAAAAAAATAAATCGCAACAATTTGTAATGCCAAGTATTTTATTTATTCTCCAATTCCAGGCCGTGCGCTTTTTTTTGGCAACAATAATAAATACATATAAAATACATAGAAATGTATTTATTTTGCTGACCCACCCGATTAGCTCAACAGGTTCCAGGCCCGGGGGCTAGAACAGCACTCGACTCATAAATCAATTTACCAGCACATAGTCACGCGCTGCAGCTTTGCAGCTTCATAAATGCATCGGCGGTCGCAATTGCAGCATAATGAACCGACGCGGCCAGTAATTTGTCTATTATGGGGTATTGTTTAGCGCCCAAAGCCCCCAGCTACCGGGGCCTATTCACACTTGTGGGCGTGCGCCAACCGCTGGAGTCGGGGGTCACCATCCCAATCGCAGTCGCAGTCGCAATTGCAGTCGCAGCCACAGTCGCTGCACAAATGCATACAATGCCACATATGTCGCGCTTAATTAACCCCAAACAATTTCAGCAGTTTGGCTGCCTGACATCGACACACACACACTATCACCCACGCAGCCTAACACTCATACACACAAACTAACACCGCCACACACAAACACGCATATTGGTCGCATGTATAATATGCAAGTATCCTATATAAAGTTTATGCGATAAAATTAACGTTTTTCTTTTTCCTAAAAACTGTCTTGTTCTTTGGTTAGTTTTGATAGCGCCTTTTTAAATGAGTATTATAAATTTCTTACAGAATGTTCAATGTATAAAAAGAGTTCTCCGACTCCATTTAGTATATATATCATTGATCAGCAGCCAAGGTCGATATTGACATTTCCGTCTAGTCTATCGCTGGAAACTAGCTTAGACTAGAAAAATATTGATTAACTATATGTATATACTTAATATATTGATTTAGTCTATTTAAATACCTTGCATATTGATTTGGTATATATATAGTTGCTGTTCACGGCATAAACGCATGCACTAAGAGTAGCTGCAACCGCGTTCATTCATTTGAAAGGCACGAGTTAGGCGTTCATAACTGACGCACGTTTCTATGGCAGCCGGGTGCAGCCGGGCAGCACAGTGACCCAAATTAATCTTAGTCATTAGCGGGAGCAAGTGTGCGCCGGCAGCAATGTAGAACTCGGCTGACAGACACAGCAACAGGGAGCAAGGGAGTCGCATCCAAAACCTTGACTTGTCTATGGCTAGGCTACGCGCCGACAAAGTGGCAAAACTTTTGTTGCTGCAGTGTGAAGAGGGACCGAGGGTCGACTGACGACAGCCACTGTTGTCGTCTGCACAGCTCGAGGCGTGAAAAATTCAAGTTCACTCGTACATCGGTTTAGAATTGTTCGAGACATGAAATAATTAAAATAAACCCGAAATATCGGTGCCATCCGCATGTGTAGACAAACATCTCGATAATATGTACGTATCAATTAAATTCCCCCACCACAGGACTCTGCTTAGTCGAAGTTATGATTTTCGCATATATATATGTTAAACATAGTTTATAGTATATACTTTAAGTACTTTAGGAATCGCTGGACTAAATAATATATGTACAATCTTAAGCAAAGACTTTGGTTTGTATGTTCGCATTAGTTGTCCACATCGGTGAACTTGAAGCGGAACGGTATGGCTGGCTCCATGAGGAATAATGATTTGAATGGCTTGGAGGCATCGTAGTTAAACTCTACATGGAAGTTGCGTATCAATTTAGCCAGCGAGGTCTCCATTTCTAGATCCACCACACGCTTGCCAATGCACATGCGAGGTCCGAAGCCAAAGGGCAGGTACGTAAACGGAGTGACCCCTGCCTTTTTGTTCGTCTCGGGATCACGCAGCCAACGTTCGGGCAGGAACTTGTCTGCTTGTGGGAAATACGCTTCTTCCTTCATCAGAGCATTCGCACCGAGCAAAACCTGTGTACCTTTGGGTATATTATAACCAGAAAGGGTAACGTCCGTGGCGCAGTTGCGGAAGGTGCCCACTCCATTGGGATAATAGCGCAGGGCCTCCTTGATAACGGCCCGCAGATATGGCATGTCCTTCATACTCTCCTCATCCAGAATCGTTTCCTTGGTTGGCATCACACGCAGCAGCTCAGCGCGTAGCTTATGCTGTTTATCCTGGTTCTTGCTCAGGCACAGCAGCAGTGCACCCAAAAATGTGGAAGATGCATCCACTCCGGCCAAAAGCAAGTCCAGACCCATGACGACTGCCACCTTGGGATCAATATTTATCAGTCGCTGCATCATGCTGTTGTTTACGCTCTTATCTCCAGACCGCAGTCGCCGCTCCTCCTCCAGCCGGGCTTCCTCAATCAGACGCTGTGAAATATCCACACTCTCGTTAAGAATGCGCATCAGTTTACGGAAGGTGGGCGTGGACACGAATTTCCAAAGAGAGGGCTGTACGTCCAGTTTAAAGGAAAGCTGAAATATCAGTCGCGACGACTTGAACAGTCTCAAGGCGTCTGGATTATCACGGTTCTTGCGTATGATGCCCATTTGACGATTGAAGGCAATCAATGCAATCGACTCGAAGACCAGGCGGCTTATTTCCTGATCAAAATCCGCGGGCACTTCCAGAGTATGTGGATCGCGTATCTCTTTAATGCTGTGGAAACGATTCATTAGTATCTAAATGATATTAAATATTTGCAAACTTACCGCTCAATGAACTCATTGTTAATGTTGGACAGCGGTTCGTAGTACATCTTCAGGCCCCTGGGCTGCATAAATACGGGATTCACAGCCGATCGAAACTTGCCCCAGCCCTCGTTTTGCCTGCATAAACAGATCGAATGAACAGCTGATCATTTTTTATTAACAGGCGACTACTTACGCGGCTATTAGGCCCTTCAGCTCCCCAAACACTTCCGGCCTTACTTTCTCGCGAAAGTAAACCAATGAATCGAGGCCTTCGCGTTGTGGCCAAATACCTTCGTTGCGAAACACCGTCTCAATGTCTTTGGCATTGAGGGCGGCCAGAAAATCCGGGCGTCCAAAAAAACCCGGGATAATAAAGAGATCGCCATAGCGCTTACGCATGGTGATGGCAAAATCCAAAAACGAGCTGTCATAAAACTCTCCGCCGGGCATAAAGCCACGCAGAATCTTTATTTTGTTTGGTCGCGGCACTTCGCTAAAGGGACGCGCCTGCGCAGCAGCAACATCATCGGCCGGCTGTAAGAAAAGTTCATATTGTTTAATTTCATGCAATTCCCTAAACCCTACATCAAATGCAGCTCACGTTGAATGCTGTGGCGGCGTGCACAGATCTGGCGCCAGCCAACGCTATTTGTCGCGCTTTGATAAGCGACATTTTTTTTGTTATCAGTTTTCTACTGCGACTGCATCTGACCAAAGCGCCGCTCAAACTGAAAATTACTGCAAGCTCTCCGCACCTTTATATACGAATCGAGCGAAACTAGGCGAGAGACAAAACCAGATCAACAAATAACTGTAGAGCGGCATCTAGTCTCTCTCTCACTCTCACTCTATTGCTTATCATCGCCTGTGTGTGTATGGCACCTCGGTGGGCATGCTTAAGGCAAAACAAATATCTTGAATGTTTTTTTCCTCAGTCATTGTCAGCAAAATGCTTTGGGCCTAAAAAGCTGCCCGGTCACAATGAATATATCGGGCAAAAAAATGCTTTGTTTATATGACTCGGCATAATTCATAGCTTCTCTTGATTCTATTCGCCTACCAATACTTACTCACACCCGCACACATACACACTTGTTCACATGTTTGTCATTAAATTAACGCGTGATAACAAAAGCTTCGCACACTGTAAAAAATAAGTGATCGGTACAAAATACAAAAACGTTGCTTCTTAGGAGCTTCCAAGAATGTAATTTTTTTGTGCTCACCCAGATATATTTCTTTCAAATGAGATTCCATTTTAGCAATAGTCCAATGTTGATATTTCCGTCAAAGCTAATTATGTAGATTTTCGATTTAGACACACCCAATCCAAAAAGCAGTTGTCACTTCCAGGTAATGCGTATCACGTGTCACTTTAATGCTGTGGAAACAAACCATTAATAGCTGACTGATCATGCATATTTCCAAACTTACCGCTCAATGGATTAATGTTGGAAAGCGGTTTTTAACACGTCCTGATGTCCTTGGATTGAAGTCCTCGTGTTGTCTGTATTAACAAATCGAATAAACAGCCGATCATTATCTACAAAGAGATAACTACTTACAGGCTATTAGGCCCTTCTTTTCCACTGACCTCAATGAATCAATGGCCTCGTGTACTGAACAAATACCTTCCAGCGCCATAGGAATCCCCAATCCATTGTTACAATTTTTTCTAGAATTTTAACTGCTATAGCTTAGTCAAAATTTAAGCTATTTTCATGACCATTTTGATTATGGTTTTACCTCTAAATTCAAAGCTTAAATTATTCAACCTTAATCTTAAACTTTATCCTACTATTAATACAAAATTTAAAAAACTATAGCTTACTTACCTCAGGTTTTACCTTATAGTTTATTTAAAAATTGAAAAAAAATCAAATATATTTTCTGTTAATAAAAATAAACATAGCATACGCAAAATCTTACATCTTACAAAAATATAGTTTTCTATTCAGCGAAGAGCAGCCACAGTCATGGAGAAGCACAATCAAAAGACCAAAACATTGTGTGCCGTGGCAGTGATAATGAATTATAAAAAGTAGCAAACACATAATTATGGTGATTATCCATCCACAAGGAAAGCAGGTCGAGACGCGGGGCGAAGATGGCTAAGAAGCTGCCACCCAAAGTAAATGCCAACTAAGTGGCCCGGCCGCCTGCACTAATTGTGAGTAACACGTTCACGTTTACAACTTTAAGAGAATTTCCCTCGGAAAACAAGAGACCGGCATGAAGGCTGGCAGTCAGGCTGGCAGTCAGGCAGTCAGCCAGTCAGGCATCCAGTCAACCGGCTAGACCAAGCCAGACAAGAGACGGCCATTCCAGCTTAGACATTAAAGTTTGGCCAGCCAGCTCGTTAAATAGACCAAATTCATCTGGCCAAAGTTTAAAGTGTCGGCAGCCCGCGCCGACATTTATCAGTCATTAACACGGCCAACTACACAAAACAAAACAGCGCAGCTGTGGGCGGGGCAGCGGGCTATGGAAATGGGCACCCAATTAAAGCAGAGACTTTAATTTGCTTGCGGACTCCAGCAGCAGCAGCAGCAGAAGCAGCATTAAAAATCAATAAATTTAAAACATTGTATGACAATAGAAAAAAAAAACATCAGAAAGAACGCATGGCCCTGCCATAGATTCGATGCTAGAGAAAATTCTCTTCAGGGATGTTCGGGTTGTTGTTGTTGTTGAGACGCAGCACAAAATCGCCGAGCCAAACATCCTTTGTCAATACAAAATACGTACAACAAATCAAATAAAAGCACGACAACAACAACATCAACAACAACAACAAACCGAATGGCAACAAAGACAAAAGTCAAAAGTGCAAAAACAAAAGCAAAACCCAACAAGCGCCCCCAAAATGCATGCCGAGTCCTGGAACGGGCACGGGCAACGAGAACGAGAACGGGTCCAGGATCAACGCATGCGCCCAACTGACGAATCTCACGAAGCGGGGAAACCCACTGGCCTCTGCTTGTGTGCACGTACATGGACATGGCTGGGGTTGGTGTTGGGGTTGGAAGGGCGCATAGGAAATGTTGTTACAAACGCCGGATAAAATGGCGTTGCCACGCTTTGGGGGGCGCACCCACACACACACACACACACGAACACAGAGACACTTCTCCTCCATTTTGAGAAAATTTCCTGCTTCGAGCATGGCTGTCGATGGCCACGTCTGGCCGAACTGAGCAAATGATTTTTAACAAATTTCATTAACATCAGAGGTCCGTAATCATTCAAGCATCGCGTTTCGTAACTGGCCTGACGATACCTTTCACGCTGGCCACTCTCAGCCATTCGAAAGATATCCCGATGCATATTTACCTGCAGTTCACCTGACGCGACCTCCAATAACATTCATAAAACAGCGTAAAAAGTGCCGTCAAAAGCAACGCAAAAAAAAACCGTGTTTCAATTTAAAACTAACGAATTAGAACAATATTAAAAGTCGGTTCAGATCTGCGGACAGTTTGTGCTTGTGGACATTTGGTGGCTGCGAGAAACCACAAAAATGATCGACGAACAGCATCCCATGCAAATTGGCCTATGTAAGTATTGGTGTGTCTGTGTTGCCAAAACTGTAAAGCCTTTTGGCCATGCCCCATTATAAAAGCCGTCGCAACGGCAAAAGCTCTCGATTTTACCGACGGCTTTTTGCAACGTATTTAAAATAAATGTAAATCAATGCATAAGGGGCAAGTGTTGATTAACAAAGGGAATTTCCGTAGATCTTAATAAAGTTCTGATAGTAAAGTCATAATAGAACAGCTTACTACTTATATTAACTTAAATTTAAATTACTTTCCCAGCCAATATCTGACACTTGTTACACAATTCTATAAATGTGAAGACATTTAATTAGCTTATTTAAAATATCAATACAATAACTTGTAGAAATAACTTTGTGGATATGCACAGAATTTTAAAAATAGAACAATACATAATTAATATTCATGTGCTGAATTCATAGAAATAGCTATCAATTCTAGTTTATCGCGTAACTGTGTACAAAAGATAGAAAAGGTAAGCTCTAATTCTCGCGAAGTGGGCGATTACACCCCCTTGTGGGCGCTGCATGCCTCAAGGGTTCGGTATGGGGCAAGGCCTATTTATAAAGTTACGCGTTCTTTCACTCAGAAAATTCTATGACGAGCTATAATTTAAGAAAATTTCTTTAAGCAATGATTACGTTTTAAATTTTTAAGTATTTTGGGGGGATAGCCCAAGAAAATATTTGATTCTTGAAATAACTCGAAGAAACCCTGAAGGGTTGTTAAGCATATCAATTTTATCTAGAACATTTTAAAGAATTTTTTGTATTGCTCTGACATTACGAATCGTTTAAAATGGCAACCCATATAAATTCTTGATTTTTATAAATTTATTCGAATTCGAATAATCAATAACTCACACAAGGTATCTACAAGCGCTAGGAGTTGATCTCCAGCTTGGTTTTATCGCGCATAAATATGAGATTTTAAGAGTTGTAAATATATACTTTCATATTTATTTAGAAACCATGCCTGCACACTTTCTTGAGAAAAGTTCTTGCTTCTCAACACAACAATACCTGATGAAATTCTTATATTTTTAAATATATTTATATTTTTCTTACCAAATAGTGAGTACTTGTTGTTTGAGCATAAATTGACAGCGAGTGCAGCACTTGCCACTTGAGCGAAGTGTGCTTAAGTCGAGTTGGCAGTGAGCCAAAAATCTGGACACATTTTATAGTGGGCAAACAACAAATGCTGACTTCTGTCAAAGATTAGGCCAAAACAAAGCATTTATGTTTATGTGTATCGCTGGCACAACAAAGCGGCGCCATAATTTCATTGTCCGCCCAAATCCGATTAAATTAAACGCCAGTCGCCGGCAACAACTCAGCAGCGACTGACAAACGGCGGCAGCGGCTGCACACAGTATCCTGGCAAGGGTTTCCGCTCGCCCGCTGCTGCCGAAGACTGCCAACATATGCCGCCAGCAGCAGCAGCAGCCGTAACCAACGTAATGAATCCTTACCCCCGCCCCTACCCCGGCCATCCCCTGACAGGCCACACATATTTTAGGCGTGGGGTGAGCCAAGGCGAGCGTAGGGGTTGAATCTCTGGCGTCTCGTTTAGCCAGCGCACGCACTACTCGTAAATTCTATTATAATTTAGTTATAAGTCGCCTTGCAGGGTGATTTCCGCAACGCCCTTCTGATTTTTGCTGCACATTAGAATCTAATTAGTGCGGCGAAAGCGCAGCGGCAATGTCTATCAATGTCGCCTTTGCACTTGTCCACACAAATCCGCTGATGCTAGGCGCTGACATGTCCAGCCAACATGCTGACATCCTCCCAACAGCCAAAGGACAAAGGACAAAAGTGTAACAGGTGCGACAGCTGAGCAGATTATCACTGCAGCAAGCCAAAGTAGCTCGCATTAGAAGAGGTGTCCCACGTCAAATGTATGAGATGATGAGAGTGCAGCAGCAGCAGTTGCTCTTGACAATTGAACTACGGGAACTACCAAACATATGCTTATATAGAAATAAATCTGTTCAATTGATCTAGCGATAGCCGTGTGGACATCAGCACCAAGAGTTCAACTCCAAGAGGCGGCGTATCGCACAGTATGATATCTAAGCTGTAGGCTAGATTGGCCTAGACAGTTAAATTAATTAGTTAGTTCAATAGGTTTACTTATTTGCTAAAGTTATAATAATGTTTGATTGAAATGCGTAAGCCGGAAACAACTTCGATATCAACCTATATACACACAAATATTGGTCCGGACTGACTAAAGACATAGTTCAAACTATTAAAGTTAAGAGGCTGACATTTATTCGGTTATTACCTTATTTGGAAATTCCAACCAACAGTTGTGAAAATCTTATGTTAAATACTTTTTTTCTGAAAGGGTTTTTTATAATCTTTGGCAAGCCACCGAAAACAATTTATGCTTGTTATAGTTTGCCTATAAGCAATTCGTATAATAATTTACCAAATTAATTAAATGATTTTATATTATTCAAAAATACTAAGTTTGTTTGCATGTTTTATACTCTTCCACACCTAAGAAGCTTTTCACATTATGCCATAAGAAAGTTATAAAAAGACCTATATAAATATACGATTAAAATATTGAAAGTCGAATTGAAATAAATAGTTATCAGATTTTTCGAGCCATCTGGCTAGGTGAATTCGTGGTTAATAGCTAAAGTAGTGGGATGTGGATGTGGATTCGTGGCTGAATTTTAATTTGCACATAACACAAATTGTATTTCTTACACGTGAGACCACAATACAAATTGATAACGTAAATTACTTTAAAATGCTGCACATATTTCTGGCATAAATTTTGCATGCCATAGAAGTTTTTGTGAAAATTTAATGAAATTACGCACATGTGAAAATCATTTATATACAAAATGACAAACGCAGAATGTGAAGTCCTGTGCACACACACACGCGCACACAGACACAGATAGATATAAGGGGCAGAGTGTGTGTATGTATTTGCACACATTCATGTCAAGTAAATAAAAAAAGAGGAAACCTGCGGATAAAGGCAAAACAATAACAACTGAAAAAGCGCGTAACGAAGCAAGATAAACGGCGCACACACACACGCACTCAGTGGCAAACAAATTACCGTACAATTTCAACAATTTGCCATAAATTGAGACAACAAGCAACAAAAAGCCAGCCAAACAGCCAACAGCAGCAGCAGCAACAAATGCCACAAATGTACAGTAATTTTTTGCCACCAACTCGAACAACCGCACTCGCACAAACAACAATACGTATACGCAGCGTTTGCCATATAAAAGCAAGTGCGTGGAATTTTGCAGTACGACCAAACAGACGGACAATGGGACAGACATATGCATACGGTCGGTCACGCACATATTTCTCTACAAAAGTCATTTCAATAATTGCAAAACCACAAATTTACTACAACTCGAAATGGTTGGCAAATGGTCACACTCACAACAGGGTGTGTGTGAGTGTGAGTGCTTGTGTGTGAGGCAGCAGCATCTCTCCAAGTGGAACCGCAAATGCAAATCCTGTTAGGGACATAGTTTTTGCCACGGACAACTGGCCGCAGTTGTAAATTTGAGGCGGGCGCACACGCTTGGCCGCAATTTGCATGCCAATGTGAAAATAAAAATAACTGAAATGTTTCTCATTTGCATGTTTGGGCCTCGTCCACGACACAACCGCAAAAACCAAAATAGTTCCAATGGACATCAAATGTCAACAGCAGCAGCAGCAGCATCCCCACCACCAACACCACCAACAGCAGCAGCAGCAGCAGCAGCATGTAACTGGAGCTGGACACACGCAGCAGCCGGCCGCAGGACCCATTGCAATGGGGCACAATCAACTGCTGTTGCACGGAAATGAGCGCATGTTAACAACAACAACTACAACGGCAACAACAGCAACTGCGTCCTGTCAGCCAACAGCCAGCAAGACAGCAGCAGGAGCTGCAGGAGCAGCAGCAGGAGCCAACTCCCACAATGACAAAATGGCGTCAGCCAGCCGAAATGTCAACGGAAGTTGTATCAACCACAGCAGCAGCATGGCCACCGCACAACAACAAGCTCTGACGTTGACAATGACTAGACAGGGACCGGGGCCGGGTCCACCAATGCAGCTGAGCCAACGCGTCACCTTGGGCGAGTGCAGCCTCAATGACTTGGATGGCTTTTCGGCGCCCACGGCGCCGCCGACATCCTCAACAGCACCGCACACACCGCAAGCGCCTCAGCTGCAGCAGCAGCACACGGTCATGGGCATGGCCATGGCAGGGGATGTAGCCATGAGCATGGGCATTAGCATGGGTCCAGCGCTCAACCAGTGCACCTACTGCTGCCAGCCAATTTGTGATCGTTATATCATGCGCGTGGTGGACAACTCGTTTCACGAGGGTTGCCTCAAGTGCACCGCCTGCTCGCTGCATCTTGTGCACTCCTGCTATGCGCGGGACGGCAAGCTCTACTGTCGCATTGACTACGAAAGGTAGGTGGGTCGGTGGGTCTGGCTGTCAGAGTGACCAGTAAAGAGAGATTCCAATTCACAGACTCTACTTGCGTAATCGTTGCCTTGGCTGCGGCCATAAAATTGCCGCCGATGAACTTGTGATGCGCTCGCAGGAGAATATCTTCCATCTGAAGTGCTTTGCCTGCGTCGTCTGCGGGGCGCTGCTGAAGAAGGGCGAGCAGTACGTGGTCAAGCAGGGTCAGCTCTTCTGCCGCTTCGACTATGAGAAGGAGGTGGAGATGCTACAGGGCTATGGTAAGGCATCCAATCAATATGCTCCCACTTCTGTCTAATGGCATATGCTTGTAGATTATTATGGTGATGACCTGTTCCCACCGAAAATGGATGGACGACGGGGCCCCAAGCGACCACGTACCATACTGAACACCCAGCAGCGGCGCGCGTTCAAGGCGTCCTTTGAAGTATCGCCCAAGCCCTGTCGAAAAGTGAGAGAGAATCTGGCCAAGGACACGGGCCTGAGTCTGAGGATTGTACAGGTAAACAATATACCATAGCAGAAAATTCTTTTACTATATTCTATTTAAATACTGTCCTAGGTCTGGTTTCAAAATCAGCGTGCCAAAGTTAAGAAAATACAGAAAAAGGCCAAACAGGAGCCGCCGGCCAAGGGTGTCAGCGACACGCACTCACAGGACTCACAGGAGTCGCATGACAGCAGCTTGACACCAAAAATCAAGGACGAAGCGCACAGTGATAGCGAGTCGCAACAAGAGTCGCCATTCTCCACAAACTCTGACGGACTGACGAGGCTGCGTTGCAACATCAAGGACGAACAGGAGCAGGGTACTTTAAGCTGTATGGAGACCAACAAGGGTAAGTGCCAAAGCAGCTAAATTTCCAGCAAAATGTCAGCTAAACTAAATCTCCGAAAATCGACAGAAAACTGCAACAAGAACAGTGAGCCCATCCTGAACACCATTCTTGGCCTGAGCTATGCCACTTTTCAGCAGCTGATGGGTCCCTTCACGCAAACGCCAATGATCAATCCGATCGATCGGCTTTACAGCATGCAGAGCTCCTATTTCAGGCCCGAAGAGCTGGGCGCCTACGGCGAATGCGGCGGTGGCAGCAGCAAGGAATCCATGGACCACTAGTCTCGCCTGCAGATTGCAACAATTTTAAGCCAAAATCAAAATTAGTATTTGTAAAATAAACAAAATGTTAATGTGCTAGAAACTCGCTTGAGATAGTGGTGCGGAACCTTTCGCTAAATGCAGCAGCACGTGCAGAACCCAACCCCGAGCCCGAGCCAGATCCCAATACGGTGCGGAGATCCGGTGCAACCACCCAGCGCAAGGTTGCGAGACTTTTTGGTTGTCCTGCAGGTGCAGCCTTCGAAATTCGTTCCACTCAGTTGACAAGAACAAAGCATTTAACACAGCAGCAGCCACAACCACCCCGAGATGGGCATAATGCTTAAAATGGGCGTAAAATACCGATTCGTCAGGCATTGTTCGACCGCATTCTATGTGTGCGCCCGGATCCCGACCCTGTTGACAGCGCCGGCCTGTCAATGTCAACGCTGACTCAAGCGACCCCCATCATCCCCCATCAACCAATCCGCCACCAAGCCTGGCTGAAAGCGGGGGCGACTTACTATTGGCATGCAATAACTGTAAGGGGGCGGGGCCAGAACAGAGCATTGAATTCAATTCAAATCATGAAAAAAAAACTAAAATTAATTGTGCTAGTAAATGAAAAGAGCTCATGATTATTTGAATGTTAATATTTACTTAAACTAACGTTAAGCTAAATTTGGTTTATGTGGTTCATATGTTTCATATATCTTGGAATATCGTGTATCCATGTGTAAGCATAAATAGATTAAAGAGACTGCAAGAAATCACATTGGATATGGCAACATATTTGTTTAATGAGTTTAAGTGCATAAGATATATCATTGGGATAGATATGTATGTTGAGAACTGAAAGAAATCGGAAATAAATGAGAAGCAATGCGAATAAACAGACAGACAATTTATTTAGAAAGGGAAACAATTGAAAGAAATCGCAATAAGTTGGAGTAAATGCGGCGTATATATGCTCTAAAATATCAGAGATCCCCATTTTGCTTATGATATATTCACAACTTGATCAAGCCTAAAAACAACCTTTTGGGGGCATGTTTTTGACCATAATGAGTAGCTATGCTTATAGATATTTGGTGAAAGCGATCAAACGAGTGCAGATTCCGCAAACTGCAAACTTGATTTGAAACTTTCTGCCCTTATTGAATTTTAAGGCAGTACAACACGTGTTTACATAGCCGTACCCATTGCCCCATCCTAAGTCGAACAGCCTCATGCAATTTGTCACAATATGTGTCACATTAGCCACAGCAATTGTGCTTAAATGTTGTCGTCGTCCTGTTCCCTTACTTCGCTCGTCATCATTTGTGCCGCTAACCAGATTATACCCCAATTGCGACACCGATACTGCCGCGGAACGGGAGGGTGTCGAAGGCCGAGACGTGAAAGTAGCTAAACAAAGGGCTAGGCCGCACCACCACTCGGTTCAGGGCCGGAGCGCTAACCACCATCGAATCTTGCGAGCAGCAATGCATCCGGACACAAGCACACACAGACAGGCACACACACACACATGTGCATGCACATAAGTAATTTCTTTTGCACGCTTTTAAAATGCACATCAGCGGCAACTGAAACTCTACTCGAATCGTTACGCAGGGCCACATCATTAATCAAATGCTGGAAGGACCAAACAAGTACAAGCCCCGCTTTCCCCACTGCCACACTGCAATGCAAATGACTGGCAAAAGTGTCTTGGCATTAAGTCCTTCTACCCATGTCCTGTCAGCGAGCTCACTTTTTTTTTGCTATAAATAATCGAGTGGCATTTCCACACGCTAAAGAGTTGACCGTGTCGTTTCAAGGATTCTGCCGCGCTTTTAAGTGAACAAATTACGTAATTAAATACCGCCATGTCCAGAAGTAATGGGCATCCGGCCCACGTCTGTTTGCCAGACTTGCCAAAAAAAATTAAAAGGAAAATTTATGTAAATAAAAAATGGCTTGTGAACAACCAGACCTGCACTAAGACCCAAAAGTAAATATCAAAATAGATAAAAGGCAACCCAAAACTTATTAAATCCAAAGAAACTTTTAGACGTTTTAGCAACTCGCATAGTCGAAACCAGATCCAGAAAACATTTTCTTAACGACCAAGCTCTTTACATATTTATGAACCGTTTGGCAAATCGCTTAACTGAACATTATGCAAATTGAATATCCACTCAAGCTCAAAATACATAAAAAACGATTGCTGTTTGATTTTTATGGACAAGTCAACAGAGTAAAGGCTTTCAAAAGCCAATCAGCCAATGGCAAATGGTTGACAAAAAGAATTTTTTTATAATTTTTCATTGTCGTAATACTTTTTGTAGCGTTCGCCCCATGCTGTTTGGCCTTCAATAAAAATCAAAAGCCAATTGTGTATTACCAATAAAAACAAAGCCGCAAATGTAATGCACATAAAAGGATGAAAAACGTGTTCGCATTTGCTGTAAAAACAAAACAGTCCAACGTCGGTCGGTATATTATTCTTATCCAGGCACGAAGGATGACAGGGAAAGTTGTGTGAAAATATATGGGGATTTATGAAAACATTTTGCAGCCTGGGAAATGCGACGATGGGAAATGACCGAGCCTTGAATCTCGTCAAAGTGGTCATTTCTTAAATAAATAAGAATAACTTTTAAATAGGGATAGTTGATAAAAGGAGGACAGGGCGCAAGATCAATATCTGTTATTTAATCTATAAAATATATATTTATTATTATTTTATTATTCATATGATATACTATTATTGTTATTTAACTAATATTCCATACTGTGAATAAATGTTTAAAATAGCAATAGCTCTTAGTTTCCCTATGCTCAAAATTACATGTTTCTAGCTTTTACAGGTTCTCATATTGATGTATCTATACATACGGACAGACAGACGGACTCGGATTTTGATACTATATAAGCCCCTTATATGCTTTTTAAATGGATTAAGGGTATAATTGTGGATATCAATTATCAGCATTTTCTTCAATATCTCTATGATAGTATGATATTTGCCCAATTCCCCAATAAAACATACAAGAGGTTGTTCGCTAAGATTTCAAATCACGTTCGTTATGGAGAAACATATTGCTTGAACTGTTTTCTTAAGGCTGCCTTCACGACAAAGTTAAACGTTGAGCTCATAATTATGGTAATCGAAGCCCGTAACATGAACTGCGTCCGGTTGTTTACACTCACCGCAAGGCCTACAACTTGTCGGGGCAACAATCATAAGGCACAGATGTCACTCAGAGGGCCGGACAGGTCCTGGCAGCACACTTTGGCGACGCAATCTAAATGCAAATGGCTGGCCAAAGGATCGTTTTTGGGACCAAAAAGAGCCACAAAAACCATAACCAAGAATCTGGCGCATAATGCAGCCGGCAGCGGGGCGGTAAATGAGTGGGCCAACTCATTTGATGTGAAGTTGTGTGTAGTTGTGTGCGTGTGTGTGAGTGTACTCGCTCTTGGATTTGTGGCGGCACATAAGTAAGTACAAAGGAGCATTCACTCGACGACGTCTGTTTCAGTGCCATTTCGACATTTGGCACAAAATTCATAAATGCTAATTTCAACACATTGTGCATACGTTACAAATATGAATATTTACCATAACTAGGCACGCACAAGCACAGGCACAGGCACACACACTTCGATTGCCTGCCTTGAAGAGTCTGGCAACAGCCGCAGTGGCAGCCACAGACGCACAGCCGTTGCCAGAATGAACGCCACACGCCGCAACGCCGCAGCGCCATCCGCTCCGGCCCTTTATCGACAAAAGGTTTGCCATGGTTTTAGCTTTTAGCTGGTGCCTGGGCTTGACTTCGTTTCTGGTTTAATAAAAGCCTTTTGCAAAATGAAGCAATTCTGTGTGTGTTTCAGTTTTGAGCACAGGCTGACGCTGACGCTGGCGCTGCCTCAAAGCCTCAAATGTATCTCGCAGCTACATTTGTAGCTCACTTGTCTGCCAGTCGATGCGTGTGTGTGTGAGCGTGTTGGGGCTTGGCAAATATGCGTCAAATCACACAGACGCACAGTTTTTGAATACCAAATGGAGCAGACACACACACACACAGATGCACAAGAACTAGTCAGTGCATAGTCTATATTTGTCTACTTGATGCCTCAGATTGAGATTGGTTTTGCGTCCGGGCGCTGTAATTGGTTGTCTGCTCGCCACTTGTCTGCCAACATGGTCGCTCTCACTTTGGCATAAATTGAAATTTTTCAATTGAGCCTGGCACGGCCAGAGCTGCAGAGACAACGGCCACATTATTAGTTTAAACATGCCCTAATCGAAGCAACTAATGAGTTTCCAATAGGCGCAAAAGTGGCCAATAAGTGCACTACCCTCGTAATGAGAAAAACGTATCTTAAGCAGTGCCATATGCCGCCAAACACCCCCAACTGGCAACAATTCGCCAGCTGCTGACCTCGCCGACCCTCAACCCCTCGCCCTCCATTGCTGCAGATAATTTGAATTGCAAAATCTATTCAAATTTGAGGAAACAACTTACACTTACGCTTTGGGGGGCGTCTTGTCAGGCGAATGCGCATCGAAAACCAGTTAACATGACAGACATCAAAGGGGCGTAGTTCACGAGAGAATGAGAGTATCTGTGGCCAGAGTTCACTGTAGTTTGACTTTTGTGCCGGGCCCACAAAACCAAATGCAAATGAGCGACATTAGGTTTTTGCGGGGCGTCACGCTTAATATGCAAATGTTGTCTATAAATATTTAAAGCAAAATGTTGCAGCACATTTTGAGAAAACAAAATATACGAAATGCACTACATATTTGTGTATATATGTATGTGGCTGGAATGTTTTTCATTATGCTGCCAATAGAAGCAACAAAAACCAGACTAAGGCCAACATCAAATGTACATGCATACATACATACATATCTATATGTGTATATGTGTATATGTGAGCAAGTGTGCAAGTGTACAAAGTCGCGTGCATGTATTAAAAATATCTTGAAGATACTTTTGGGGCCAGCGTCAGCAGCAACTGCCCCCGACTAGCGCCGCGGCTGCTTTAGTAGCTCGAAGCAGTACTAGAAATCGGCTTTAGTAGGACGACGAAATAAACAACAACAAAATAAGACGTTGGCTGTCCAACTGAGCTGCTGTCGCCGTTGCCTTCGCCGTCGCCGTCGACGTTGTTGCTGCTCTGCAAAAAATGTTTTTATTACATTTCGCGCTCGCGTTTTTTGCGCTACTCACGAAATACTTGATGCCAACACAGCCGCAGCAACAAAGGCATCGCTGAAAGCCAACTCAAAATAAATATCAAGCAGCCGCCCCCAACACCCCACCACCTTTCGAGGGGAAGGAGTGAGGTATAATTCCAGGCGCAGCTTGCCAAGGCGGCGCCAAGGCAGTCACACTCGCACTCAAAGCCGCGCGCATCAAAGCGTATTCACAAGTGGTCCTTTGCGCTTTACTGATTTCGCAAAGGCTAAAGGATATTTAGCAAGTAGTCCTTCTGCGTGTTTTCTTCTTTTTTTTTTTTTGCTTGCTGTTCCCTCCATTCTGAGGCAGGCGCTGACGATACTGCTGCCACTAAAGGAGTTGTCTTGGAAACTTTTCTGCCAGATACTCAAGTCGCGGCTCAAGTTATTGTTGTTGTGCCCGAACAGCGCAG